TTTTCGGAAGTCACCTTGGACTCCTTGGAAATTAGGCTGCGATTTTTTGATAAATTACTACGCGTACTTTTCTCTACTTGCACACATAGCTATGTGTGTGTTCCGTTTCGGTCCCCGTAACCTCGATTCGAGAATATTTTTTGGTAAATTGAGGTGCATGTTCTGGAACATATTTGTTTTTGTTTTCGTTCAAGAAGACTTGGGAGATTTTTAATTTGGTAGCTTTGAAATGGATATTTTTTGGAAACTTGTCTGCGGAGGGAAAATTTATGATTTTCATTGGAGAAGATAATAATAATGCATTGAATTGGAGAAGATAATAATATTCGATTCTCTGGGTTCATTAATTTGATATAGAAATAGAGTACCGTATAACAAATTGTGGATTATTCGTTGCTCGAAGCCGCTTATTCATATCTACATTGAAAATATTTTCAATGTGTAAACGTGTTAATTATATGCGATATTTATTACGATATAACCCAATTTGTAATAATAGATAAACGTGTATTAAACGCGTGCATGTATAATATAGAAAATGATTAACCATATTTTCTTATCATCAGTTTATCGTCTCAAACAAAATTCTTAAGTGTTTCAATTAACTAATAAAATTTGTCGAGTAACGAATACGAAGAAACATAATCACAATTTGACACGTTTGAAAGAATTTACATAATTCCGATCAATCTTTGTATTTTCTTATCGTCAGTTTGTCGTCTCAAACAGAATTCTTAACCAATAATATTTGCGATGTGACGAATACTAAGAAACATAATCACAATTTGACACGTTTGAAATAATTTAAATAATTCCACTGAATCGCTGTTGTTTCAAACAAACATTTCTGTGTTATCGATGTTCGCACGGTGATATTAAAATTTGGCCAGTTATTATCCAGAAACTATGTACAGAGATAATAAATGTGCAACAAAGTAGTAATTACGAGCGTATGACGTTACTATCGCAACAAAGCGGTGTACATACCACTATCCATTTCGGTGAAATTAATATCGAATTCTCGTCAGCATTCCAGGGAAAGCAGATAAAGCGTCGCGTGATAAAATCACTCTGTGAAAATTCCCCGATATTCATCCGAGTGCCGTCGTTTAACCAAACCTTTTGTAATCAAAATTGAATACCGTTTTTCTGCTCTTTATCAACTCTGTGTTAGCCGACGAACTACGGGACTGAAGAATGCGATCTATGCGATGTTACGGTTGATTGTGATTGTTAATAACGTCAATTTTAACGATTCTCTTCTGTTATTATACATAATAATTTCATTTGATCGATGTGTAATGGAGTTGAAGGAAACGTGTAGAGCAGAGGTCGGCAACCTTTCGATTAAAAAGGGCACTCCGAATGGCTGGCCTGTGATAAAGGACACTTTACCCTAATTTTCCTGAAGGGGAAGTCGTAAGCTTAATTCAATACATATTTATTTTAAATGAATTTATCAGTACAAAAATCTACTGGTTCGTCTTACGCACAATCATCTTTTAAAGCCATTTTGTAAAAATATCTGGCACAGTGGCGGGCACTTGACCATTTGCACGCCAAATGTTTCCATTTGCAGATAGCCGC